CTCTCTCTCTCTCTCTCTCTCTCTCTCTCTCTCTCTCTCTCTCTCTCCCAAACGCCCAAACCCTAATGAAGATATTGCGGATTTCACAAATTTCGCGACCGTTCTAAATGTATAATACACTGTAAAAAAATAAATGAAATTTTCATTGCAGCAATTAAGCCACAACGGCAAGTTCACATCAAAATTAACTGTATCAAACTTGGACCAGGTAGACCCATTCTTTGGACACCACCCCATATGGAAGTTCTCCCTTGAAAAATAAGTCCGCCTAAAAATCTTGAATTTTAATACGTTTTGATGAAAGTTAGGACCTGAGAATAATGTGACATAAAATTTGATAAAAACGATGGCTATTAAAAAGGGATTGAATCGGATGATTTACTACTACTACTTTCCATACAATATCTGAAATTTTATGATTTTTCGAAAAGAATAATAAGAAAATAGTATTTTGGAATAAAGAAAATAAATGTTAAAAAATTTAGATTGAAAGGGACCACGTTTTTGGACTCTACCGTATAAACGTTCTAATAAAGATGTGGAAGCAGCGTAGCGACATGGCATAAGTCCATCTTCGTATATAAGCGCCCCTTAAGAGCGGAGAATACTAAGCTAACGACGAAAAAGAATTAACTTAAGCAAATTCGAAATACCTGGGCTTAGGTTTTGGGGAACCACACTCTTAGTTGATTTTGACCTGTTTAAAATAGAAATTACATGCAGTTGGTTATTTGTGTATATTAGATTTCATCGGTAAATATTATGAATAACAGGTAAGAACATTATAGCCGGGCTAGGCTGCTATTAATTACCCTTAACCAATTCACTTAGTACAGTTATTCACTCCTTTTTGTAGCTTTACAACAACGTTTACATTATTTTCATGCAAAGGTGGACGCTTCATGAAAGCCTGCATATTGAGGTATCCCGAAACCTGATCCGATCCAAATTTAGCAAACTTCATTAACTTTTTAAAAATCTTTTCATTTTTCAGCTTCCATCACAAAAAGTCAGAAATTAGACCTTCTCTCCATATAAGGACCTGATCTTCATGACAACCCCAAAATATGTTAGGGTCTAAGAAATAGACCTATATGATCCAAATTCCCTACCGTTGATTTCCTTACTAAATTGCTGAGCAATTTTCCTCATAAAATATTCAAGATTACATGTTTTACCTTTGAATGGCTTACTATTCACATGAGAAATCTTATACGGAGTGGGATCCATGACCAATAGACCAAAAATGGTTCTGAGTTGATCGGTATAATAAAAGGTGGGCCGATCTTATCCCTTCTGTTTGTTAGCTACGTCCACACATACCTATTACACCATTGCCCTGCAAGTATTGTAGGGTATGAAAAGCTTTATATTAATAACTGAAAGCTCTCCGTCGTCTTGGGATTTTTTGTTAGCAGAACTCGTAGCTTTCATTAACATTAGCTAAAGAAACGCAACGCTTTCGATTAAAACTTTTGTGAAGTAAAAAGTTTAGACGAAAATATATTGTTGAAAAGCTTTTGCATCAGGTGACCGTCGAAATCTTGTCACCAGAAAAGCTACAAAGACAATAAGAAAATAGAAAGACTCTAAGACGTTTTTTTTTTTTCATTTGAATTTATTTTAAAATTTTTAAACGTTTATTTTAATGTGAATACATCGAAACCTAGTTTTCAGCGTAGAATTTACGAGACTTACATCAACTTATTAGAATCTTATAATATATTCTCTATTTACATATATATCTTAAAAACGGTGATAAGAAAAGTTTCGAGCATTTAAACTTATTTATATCATAAAAGCTCTTGCGACTTAAATTTATAATAAAAATTTGATAAAAATCGTTTTTATAAAAATGTTTAGTATGAATAAATTAAGAAAGTTTTGTTTTTAGGCATCAAGATGTTATAAAAAAAAAAAAAAAAAATTCTATTTTTAAAAATTTGCTCTCTTCGACTTCTTTATACAAAGTCTTCTTTATTTTTTAGCATAAATTGCGTTTCAGGTATGAAACCTTGCTGTGTTTTCTGGCTCATTGAACTATTTCGTTGCGTTGAAGAGACACCGTAGGATATGCTATTTTTATACTTCAAAGCTCGTTGTTGACATAACCCAAACCTACACCGGGATAGAAAATATATATATATATATATATATGTATACATATATGTCAAAAAGCTATTTTTCAAAATCGACTCATGTACATACTTTCCCAGTAGTGTGTATAGATCTTGGCGGTATTGTTGTGTTAGTATTGCGTATAAGTAAGGATCCGCACATGAGTTTAAGGGATAGAAAAATACCAGCAATATTTTCGATTTGGTTACATTTATTAATGGATATCCAGCTAAAGCTGTTAGACCAAAAAAAGCAATCGGTGACCAACAGGCAAAGTTGGTAAAAACCTGTGAAAACAAACAAGAAAGATTAAAAGCCGTCTATGTATTGTATGCTCCTCAGTAAAAGTACGGATTTTATGTCGGGCAATTGAGCCGACAATTCTGCTTAGATAAGTAATTAACAAAAAACACATATTCGGTGGTGGCCGAATCTCTTAAACCCGTCATCATCAGTATCCTAAAAAAGAGTAGAAAACAAGTAAGAAAATTCTAATCGGGCAAGACCGACTATTAGATACTCTATACCACTTCACCTAATAAACGTTTTGGTAATGATATACCAAAAACTACACTTTATATTCATGTAAAGGTATACTTTCCCTGGAAGCCCCAAAAATTGCAAAAGGTCCAAAAGAGACCTTCGTTGGGCAAATTTAGTAAGATTGTTTACTATATCAATTGACTAATATTCACGATAAAATAATAGAAATTATATCTTTTCGCTATATAAAGCTTCACTTTTCGTAGGAACGTGTACATGAGAGAGGCTTTACAAAACTGGCCGAGTTGAACCACTTTAGAATGACGAAATACTATTACTTAGCGGCTTTTTTGGAAAAATTTTGAAAATTGCAATCGTGAAGCAGTCGACTAAGTGCATTCCGAGTTCGAAGTTGTCCAAAAATTGAATTCTTGGTCTTTGCTTCTGTGCGTTATAAATAATTAAATTTTGCCTATTTTTTCTATTTTTGTACATGTCTTATACGAATAGAACGTACGGTCAAATTTTTATAAATTTATCTGCAGTGTTTCGTGGGTAATGAGCAGAAAACCAGTTTTTTTATTGTTTTTATAAAACAGACGTGCTCTTAGCTTATGTGATACTGTAGGCGTGCCCTTCGACCGATTCAGCCCATTTTTGTTAACAACTTGCGTCCAATGTTTCTGTCAAACTTGAAGTCAACAGCTTAATTTTTCCTACCAGTGGAACGTTTGCAATAGACATTACATAGGCGGACAGGTGGACAGACAACTGTATAAAATATACATGTCGATTGAAATATTCTTTATAAACTTGCATAAAAAAAACGGGCATATCATATATAAACAATTCCGGTTTCATATTTACATAGCTGCTCAACTCTGGCCTGTTGCTTTTAAGTACATTCCCTTCATAATTAAGAAAAACTTACCAATAAAGCCATTTTCTTAGCAACTGACATTTCACCCATTGAAGCACCATGAGCTTGACGGGTCTCTTTACCCAACGACATATAAATTTGAGCATAACAGAGAGCAATTATGAAAAACGCTACACCATTTAGACCCATTATAATGACCAAATAAATAGTATCGTACGTATCGCGATCTTCCATCGGCAAACAAATGCTATACAAATGAATTAAAAATTAAAAATGAAATAAATTCAAAATTCATATAACATTGATTTGACTTACCTAGTTGATGAATAATTGCTAATACCGGATAGCGGTAGTGATGACATGATAATTGAATAAAACCAACCGGCCGTCATTACATAGCCAGCCTGCTTCAATTTGATGCGATAATTTAAGTGCAATGCATGCGTTATAGCCATCCAACGTTCTATCGTGATAACGGTTAAAGTGAAAACCGATAAATGACTTGCGAATACCGTTAAAAAGCCAGCCACTTTACAACCAGCACCTAAAGCACATACGAATCAATATAATTGATGCAACGAGAATAATATTACCCACCGTATTGCCAGTCGTAAGCAAAATTAAAATATTCACCCATTGAGTGAGCATCAATCGAGGCTATTAGCAATAAGTACAGGCCCAAGCATAAATCAGCAAATGCCAAATGTCCCATTAAAAAACGTGAGACCGAAGCGACTTCTGATCTACAGAAATTAATTGAATACAGCAAAGATTAATTTAAACATTCAAAGTAAAAAAATAGAAAATTTAATCTAACCTCACCTTATCGATAAAATTACTACTAAAACGGCTACATTGCCGACCACAGCCAAAGCTACAACAATCCAAACCGCTATGCGCAGCCAACGATAACCCATAACATCTTCACAAGGATTCAAAGCGTTCGGTATAGGATAACATTCAACATCATGTTTTCTATAAATAAATAGATAAACCGTAAAACTATTTTTATTCTCTTCTTTATAGAACAGAAAATACGGATAGTGAAAGTGGGTGAAAATGTAATTGAAGAAAATATTTTAAAAATTTTGCGGCAAAGTATAATGAAATAAAACTTTTGTTGCATTATTATCTAAAAATAAGTAAAAAGATTATAGTAAGCCGCGATCGACTACCAAATACCCTACAATACGCAGTCATTCATATAAATATTTTCATAATAAGACGTTAAAGGGGAAATAAACATAAATGCAGTCCGGTCCCAACCATTTTCAATAGCGTTCATTCTTGGGCCAAACCTCGTCAATGTACAAAATTTCATGAAAATATTGCAAAAATTGCGGCGTTTAAGTTGAATACAAAAAAATTAAAAGGACAGACGGACGGACAAGCTTAGATCGATTCGAAAAGTGACTCTAAATTGATCGTTATAATCAAAGTTGGGTCTCTCTCAAGTTCTCTTGAGTATTACATACATCCGTACAAACTTAACATACCTTTATGCCCCAAGTGGCAAAAGTTGTCAAGATTTTAAGCAAAAAAAAAAAAAACCCTGTGATTATGGAGCAAGCAAAATAATAGCGCCCGAAAATTTCCTGACATTCTGAAAAAAATTTTTTTCTTATATGGCGACTAACTTTCATTGTACTACATTGCCCGATCTGGTTCAATGTCGCTTAACACTATTGGATATACCAATTTGTACCAAAAGGGATCATTCTGATTCTAAGGTGTGTTAGAATAAAGGCCAAGTTGGTAATTAAAATTTTGTCGAAAATTGTGGTCGTATTGGTAACTTGATTTTGGTTAGGTGATCGAATAGTTCCGTCACAGGTTTTCAGAAATATCTTCACTAGTTTGCAAATTATAGGCAAAGATATAAAAAAGATATCGTTCTTTTTCAAAAATTGTTTCAGTTTCTTCCATACCGCAGACGTGGACATAGGCATGCCCGCACCTAATCAACCTCAACCTCAACCTCACGTTCTTCATCGACCAAGGAATATCTATTCCAACTTTCCTATCCTCACTGGTGTATCGCTAGTACTATTAAGAAAAAATTAATCGCGACGTCTACCACTTTCACTTTAGAATTAACCCATTTTTAGGCAGATAATATCTTTATTCGAAAAAATCTTCATTTGAAGAATGCAGAAAATAGTTTTGAACATTCTCCTTTGTATGCGCTATGATAGACAAGTAAAAAACCTCAAAAAAGTGAAAAAAAAATTTTAATCACTTGTAACTTAGTGTGGGCATGGCCGAATTTTTGAATTTTTACACGTAAAGAGTAGAGTTTTTATAATTTCTGAGTAACGAGGAAAAACCGATAATTTTTGGTTAAGAAAAGCGGAGATGCGTTCAGTTTACGCTTCATGGCGAGTTTCTGGCCCATTTTCAATACCAACCTGCGTGCAAAAACTTTCAATGTTTCTACCAAATTTGAAGTCGATATCTTAATTTTTGCGACCAGGAGCGTGCCAACACCCGCCACACATACGGACAGACATGGCTAAATCAACCCAGAATTTTATGCTGATCACGAATATAATTACTTTATAGGTTCTCTAAAAATTCCATTTGGGTTTTACATACATTATGCAAAACGAACAAAATGAGTAGTAGGTATAATAACTAACGATCAAAGGTGATTTAATTATCATGCTACTATACCGGATAGTAAAGTTTCCGCAATATTCATCCAATTGAGTTTGATTGGTATCGATGGGAGCATGAAATGTACCAGTTTCCATATCCATAGAATCAGCTAAGTAATCCCATCCTAACGAGTATTGCACGCCATCATCTCGCCACGAATTGGGCACATCGTTATCATCTACAGGGAACTCGGAACGCATTAAACGGCTATAAAAGGGTAAAAATTTATATACATTTGATTTTGTTATTATATATAATTAGTTATGAACGCTTTATACCTATAAAATACGCCCTTGGAATTTTCATTAAAAAACTTATATAAAGGATTTGTTGTTGTCGCGTCGGTTAACGGTGTGTCTTTCTCCTTTTTAAAAGTATTAGCCGATATTGGTTGCTGAAGGGAAGGCGAACTCTCTAAGACATTAGCGGGTGATAAGAAATTTTCATGATTATCTCTCTGGCTGTCGGTTTTCGCGCATTGTAGCTGCCATTTTTCAATTTCCTTCATGCGTTCAGCATGACGTCGCGGATCATGACGCGAGGGAAATTTAAATGCACAACAGTGAAATGAATGCGTTAGAAATGCTTTTTGTAAATTCTGCAATAAAAGGCAAAAATGTGAAAGCAAAAAAAAAAAAAAATGCTTTTAGTGACTAGCTTTTAACTAATCTTTCATTCTTTCTCATTTACTTACCTTAAAGTAATAAATAGATGGTATAGTTTTCAAGGTATGCGTGTTCTGTATACGCAATGTTTCAATATCCTCTAAACCTACTGAAGGTAAACGTATAAGCGACGTACTCGAGAGATCTCTGTTTATTAAGGAAAAACGGATATATAAAAATTTCTTTCTCTTCTTCTTCTTCTTTTTTTTTTTTTTTTTTTGCTATTTGCAAACATCATGAAATTAAAATGCTTGCTTATATTCATAAACGAAGTTATATTAAACTTTTTAGTACTTTCTTAGTATGATGGCTTATATAAAAAGTCTCCGCGGGTTGTTGTTACTTTTTTTTTTGTTTCTTTTGCCGCTTCTTGTTGTTTTGATACCTACATATCGCGCAACTCTCACCTGTTTGGCCCGAATAAACATGTGCTTAAAATATGACATTTCAGCTTACATTATGTGTGAAGGTACTTTTCAAATTATTTGCTTAGGTAAAAAGTTATATTGATTTGAAAATCAGTGAAATATCTGAAGAAATATACTAAGTAATGCTTTTCTGCAATAAAAGGGCTAAAATAAGCAAAAACGTTTGGGAAAATTTGTAAAGGGTACGGTAACAATGCTATGAGTGATCAGATGAGGACCCAGGAGTGGTTTGCTCGATTACGTTTCGTAAATTGCTCTGGTCGACCGGTCACCGAAAAATTCGATGAAATTTTGCAACTGGTAGAACCGAACCCGCATGCAAAACCGTCGGAAAAATGCGAAGGCACTAAAAATCAACTTTGGAATCATTTGAAAAGAGCAGGCTACGAAAAGTCTCGAAACCCCACAAAAAAACCGCGGAGACTTTTCCATATAACCTAATACCTAATGTGGGTTTTTGAAAATCAAATATGAAAATTAACATTTTGTGTTATTATTGGGGGAGAATAAAAATTATTACAATATAAAAATGCCGCGAAGAGGATGATCAAATATTGGTTTACAACGTCGACATACTCGACAACAAGGAAACATATGAGATGAATTGGAAGCTCAATTGTCATAGGGAAATATGCGAAGAAGACTGAGACACGCGCAGCTATGTGTATACGAAATTGAAAATTATCGTGAAAAACGACTGGCAAGAGATGAACAATGCTAAACAGACGCAGCAGACTACAAAAAGAAGCTCCAAAGAAGACAAAAAAAAACCGCAAAGATCTTTTCGATCACCCATTGTAAAGATACCCACTTGCGATATCGTTGAGTACACGTCTCAATATTTGCAATGAAGACCGCAATCACTTCAATCATATCCCTTTGTTCGATTATTAAAATAATTGTAATCTTAAATATAATCTTAAATCATTGCTTTTAATTACCATAGCAAACAAAGTTACGCAAAAAGTTAAAGCGATGAATCGCTTCACGTATCCGTAAAAGGTCTACTTTTTATGGATATTTGTTTCTTAATATAAATGTTCTCAACAATTTATAATTTCTAGAAGAACGTCTGAGGTTTAGTCTGAAACTTTTGTATGCGACAAATAACTATCGGCATAGAGGCGAATGGGATAAATAGAGCTCAGAAATCAGTAATGCGAATGAAAACCCTCGAATCATTTGATTGCTTTATGTTCAGGTCATGTTTTACCTCTAAAAGCTTAAAAACGCCTCATGAAATTAGTGAAATCTCACTTGGACCGTAGTCTAGTCTAGTCTACGTATAACTGACCGTCATTATCTGTTGGGTCCACATTTCTAAAAGTAGAGCATTTATTACGTGATCCGTGACTTTTCGGAATTACAAAGAAAACGAAATGACCTAAATATATTCGCTGCCGCTTTCCTCATTCAAAAAATAGGTTATGTATGAGAATCGACTTTCGTTTTATAAAAGTTTTCTTTTTGTTAACAACAAGGCATTGTTCACCTTGATACGAAAAGTGAAAGTGAAAGCTTTGTTATGTTGCATTTTAATAGAAAAAAGACCGCATTTGTTATATAATTTCTTAAATTGCACTCACAAGGCTTCGCTTTCCCTTCGCGACGCTCATTATGTTAGTAATATGTACGAAAAGGAAAGAAGCATAAGCCGTTTACTTGCAAGCTACTGCAAAAGAACACGAACGAGGTACATAACTGTAATTGGGAAAACCATTGTTTAGAAATCAAATTTTTTTCCCTGGGGTCAGTGCGGACATTGCAGGTACCGCACTACTACTTTTCCTTCTGCCTACATACAGAGTCTTTCAAGAAGAGATGTCATTTTAAACTTTCACGACATACAGCTATCGTTTCACGAGCTGTGCAACAGACGACACCCTTTCTGCTAAATATAAGCATCGTTTGCATCCTTAGTCAAAAAAAGTCAATCAACCCTACACGATAACCCATCCATTCACTACGACGTATGTTGTTTACAAGTACGGCGCTACGAGTATCAGAAGTCCCTGAAGGTAGTTTCTGCCTCGACCTGATGGGGGGAACGGCGATTTCAGGACTTTTGTGATGATTGGTGTTGGCCTAATTTGCACGAAGGCCGCTTTTTTGACGCAGGGTTGCGTTATAGCCTGTTAAGCCTCGCTCTCACTATAGAACGTATCCCTTACTCGCAAACTAATCACCCTTGAGTTGACAAGTAATGTTTTCTCGCTCCATGCCCCGGCAGATACCGTAAGGTTAAGTTTTCGCGGCAAGAATCCACGCTAAACAACACTACGTATTTTTTACATATTTCCATATCTCTAAGTATCTTAATAAATATTGCCATGTAGTACATAGTAAGTAATTTGTTATTAAGTTCTTCTTACTATTGATACTAACTATAATTTGAAACATCTAAACGTGCACATATATGATAAAGAGCAATAAGGAGCTAATCATCTAGAGACATATGTAACTGCTAAACTAGCCATATTTTCGAAGAAGTATGGTCCAATTATATCAATAATCCTACAAATCACTCAAATACCCTGTGTAATTGGAGATATTGATTACCCACTTCTCTTAGGCTTTTATAGCACCTAATCCTATAAACTTAATAAATGAAATAAGTCTTCAATAATTTTATTTTAAAGATCATAATCTTGCTTAAGCATAATCAGCATCCAACCAGCAATCGCACAGCAAACGCAACGTTTTGCTTGTCAAATCTTATCCCAATGATAGTTGTGCATTAACGAACTTAAAATGACATCTTTTAAATGAAATAACGCCACATTTTACATATGTGAGAGCACAGGGTTGCAAAGAGTATATGAAAAGTTCCAATTGAATATAATATAACCTTGAGATTTGAAAATTTAAAGAAAAATTTCAACGACTGTTATAAAATAAAAGCAAGTAAGAGAACTATATCCATTCGTTGCGAAATTTTTTATATCCGCCACACAGTTGCGCAGGCAGAGATGTGGATAGACGGACATGTTTAGATGTATTCCAAATTTGAAACTGGGAAAAAATTTATGTTCTTTACGGGGTTTTTGAAGGTTGCTTCTGCGCCTTATAAAGCTAATTTTGATACACTACAATATTGGGTAGACGTGATCATTTTTTTCCATATTTCCACAGGTGCTACCGCAGCGCCCATAGAATAAGTGTCCAAATTTTGGTAGGGTTATCTGCTATAATTTATAAGTAATGAGCAAAAAACCAATTTTTTATTCGTTTTACAAGACATACGTGTTCTGAGCTTACGTGGCGGTGTGAGCTTGTCCTTCAATCGAATTCGCCAATTTTCGCTGCCAACTTGCGTGCAAAAGCTTCCAATGCTTCTGCCAAGTTTGAAGTCGATAGCTTTTTTGCAGCCGGGACAATGCTTACAACAGCCATTACAAAAACGGAGAGAGGGACATGCTTCGATTGAAAATTTGATGCTGATCAAGCATATATATACTTTGTGAGAGATACCTGAATCCTCCAAATAGGTGCAGATGAACCGACAGACAAACGGACAGATGGACATGCTTAAATCGATCTGGAATTTAGTGCTGGTCAAAAATATAATATATACATTTTATATATGAAACTTCCTTCTGGACGTTGTATCCCATCTCCCAGAACTCTATCCCCCGGTGCTAAATATAACAAGAAAATTTCAATTTGTCTTGTGACCTTTACTGTAAAAAAGTCTAGAAAGAAGACGAAGAAAACTGAGTGTTTATAACATTGAGTGGGTGCCGGTGACCTTCTCTTTTCTTTTGTAAAACATACGAACAAATTTTAAACGAGTACTTGCTGTGCCTCACCAGTGATGGGTGAAAATCCAGAAAATAGTTCAATTTCAGTGTGCATTGCACTGAGAGCGGGTTTCATAAACTGTTTGGCAAACATATAGACGCAAAGACGGACAGAC